TGTTTGACATAGCTTTGGTGATGAGGCTAACAACAATTTTTATTTACTTGTTCCTTCGTTTATCAGTTGATGATTCAAGCTATACAGGGTGACTTTGAAGTTGAGTCATTAATTTTCAGATAATGATTGTAGAAGGAAGATAAACCAAAATATGTGTGTAAAAATAAAAAAAAAATAAAATAAAAATGTTACCTTGTTTTATAAAGTATCCTCCCGACAAGTATTTCAGTGCGGACCTGTGCGCCCAAAAGCATGTCACAAAAACTGTTCGAAATGATTTCCGTTTTGCTCGACGCACAGCTGGGCGCGTCTTAGCCATGTCTCTTTACAAGCACGCAATAAAATCACTGGTTGATTTCTGATCACTGTACTCATTTCCTCAATTCGAGCACGTAATTCTTCGCGTGTATTAACCGGTGTTTTATACACTAGAGTTTTTAGCCAACCCCACAAACAAAAGTCTAAAGGATTCAAGTCCGGAGACCTTGGCGGCCAAGGTACAAAACCGCCACGGCCGATCCAACGATTATTAAATTGTCTATTTAAAAATTCACGCACATTTCTTGCATAATGGGGTGGTGCCCCATCTTGTAAAAACCACATGTTTTGTCTAATATTTAAAGGCACATCTTCCAGTAAACCAGGCAAATTGTGTTGCAAGAAATCAAAATAATTTTCACCAGTTAAGCGATTTGGTAATTCAAAAGGCCCCACTAAAATTCCATTAACAATTCCCGCCCACAGGTTGATTGGTTCAAATCGCTGTTGAAAATTGGTTTCCCTTATTTCATGGGGATTTTCAATAGCCCAAACGTGAGAATTACGTGAATTAATAATTCCGTTTCTAGTAAAGAGGGCTTCATCACTCACTAAAATTTGATTTAAAAAATTGTCATCATTTTGATGTTTATTTAAAAGCCAATTGCAAAAGTCAACCCTTTGTTCATGATCTTCCGGTTGTAAGGCCTGCACCTTTTGTATGTGAAACGGATAGAACTGATTTTCACGTAGAGTTTTCCAAGTTTTATATTGACTAATCGCCAATTGAGTTGAAATTTGTCGGGTGCTTACTGTTGGATCATCACTTACTAATTCTAAAATTTGTTCTTCTAGTTCTATTTGATCGTGTGGTCTTGGAGCACCGGCATGATCTCCTCTGTGAGGTCTTAAGTCACCTGATTCACGAGCTCTTTGCACTACATTAACAAAGGCACGAGGGGTTGGTTGCACTCGATTGGGAAACCGATCCGCATAGATCCGTGATGCCTCGGCAGCATTTTGTAAAGACTCCCCGTAAATAAGAACCATGTCCACAAGTTCAGCATTTTCGTAAACATGTGCCATTTTTGATTTGAGCCTCGCAACAGACACGACAATTCACTTACGCGTTACCGACTACCGACTGATACTGACTGTATACAACTGAAGAAACTAATTGTAAAAATATCGTTCCAAATTCTTTCGCTTTTTTGTTTCCGATGCGATGAACGGATAAGGCGGATTATATCTGTTGTTGCCAAACACGAGAACATAATATCATTATTGAGACAGGGCGGTACTCAAACTTCCAAAGGGCTATAACTTTGTTACTTTAATTTTACCAGAAAAATGGTAAAGGAAAAAAACATTTCTTTTGATCAGATCTATTCACTGTTAAAATAAATGACTCAACTTCGAAGTCACCCTGTATATACACTTTATTTGTCATACTTCTTACACCTACCTGTATGGCGATATAGGTGCCGCGCAAAATAAGAGGCAAGCATTGTTCACCAAAGATAAGAAGTATTTTTTAAATGTTTTTGCTGTTTTTAGAATTGTTGTGAACGTAACTAACAATTTCTATTGAAATCATCATCAAACCTTAGACTCACTTCTATTTGAACAAAAATTTAGGTAGAATTTAGTAACGCTACATTAATGAAATTTTTATGGTTAATAGCTAGTGTTCAAGATACTAATTGGTGGGAAAACGTGTTTTTTCTGATTTCAAAAGACGTTCAGCGAGGCGAACTAAGAATGCGAGGTACTGTAGCTGGGAACCTATCCATCGTAGAGGCTTGTTCTGACTAAAGCGGCCAAGAGAAAAATCTGGAAAACATTTTCCAGTTTTTGAAATGGCCGCCAGAGGGCGTAACTGCAATCTAGAATCTAAAAAGTGATGTTTCTGTGAATTTCGCTATATTATGCTAACAAACAATACCTGATCTTTAAAGTCGAAAATAATGTGAGCTTTTTTGTTTGACAATTTTTGCTGTACCTTTAAAAATAAAGTGGTGGGGGGTATTCAACGGTTTCCGTAAGAGAAATATCTTCTATATATCTTCGAAACGGCTGAGCTAGTTTTAACAAACTTGGGCCACAAATGTTATAATATTTGAAGTTTTGTGTGGCCGCTAGAGTGCTTTTTTCGACATACCGACAGAAATGCTAAATCTTCTAAAAAAATTGAGTGCATTGGTATGATTTTTTTTAAGAAGATGTAGCTAAACAAGTTGGCGAAAACTTTTTTGCCGCAAGCCTCTACGATGGATATGTTCTCAGATACAGTACCTCGCATTCTTAGTTGGTCGCCCTGTAAAAAGCTGTAGGACTTTTTTATCATTTGTTATGTGTCATGTTTTTTATCGTTCCAAAATGAAGTATTAGTTACTTGACTTACTTGCTGTTATGATAGTTAAGCCTCAAATATATGTTAAATAATAACAAAAATCATTTATCTCATTTACTTACGAAGTTATGACCAAAATAAGCTCGGATCTCGAAAATTTCCGGAAAATCAGAATCAAAGCTCCGGAGCTAAAAAAAAAATCGGATCATATACAAAAGGAGTTATTCGTACCCGCCATAGGGGCTGTACCTCTGTGCATTCAATTATCACTTCTTTTGAATAACCAAAGAGTAGTTCTACCAAGAGAACACAAACAAAGCGAATAGATTAGCGATATTCAGGGTTTCAAATTTGACCGTCATCACTGGGGTTCCGGAAACTGTAAGAGATACCAAGTCGCTTAAATGGGAGCAGAGTTGCATATTTATCAACAAAAAGCCGCTTAGAATGTTTCGAAATTCAAAGTACATCATGAGAGAGAGAAAAAAAAAAACAGAATTTCCCCAAATCGTTTTAATTTTTTTCTGACTCTATTATTTTGTAGTTGGATTTCAAAATAACAGGTGATATAATTAGAATTCCAATATCTTCTTCTTCCTAATGTAACTTACAATCATACACTTGTCTCTATTAAGATGTAACTTATTGCGTTCACACCATTCTAATATAACTCAACTGCGTCTGCAAGCATTAATAACCCTCAATGTCGTTAATTGAAGCGTAGATCGTATATCATCTGCAAAACACAAATGTCCACAGCTCAAATTCTAGCAGAGCGCATTAATAAATAGTAAAAACAATAGAAGCTCGAAGTTAGATCCATGGCGCACACCAGCTGGAGCTGATTATTATTTTATTTATTTTATTTTAATTTTTATTTTATTCATTACAACACCCTACAGTAAATACCAATTACAGGGTGAGGAAACACAGATATAAAAGACAATAATAAGTAATAAGTAATAGACTACAAAGTGTAAAAGATACATGCTGGTTACTTAATAGTATTTTTTATGTCTGCAATTCTGCAGTTAAATATATCAATCATGTTACTTGCAGAATTGTAATTCCTACACATCACATGTAAAGGGGAATAGTGTAAATAATTTGTCCGTGCCGCAGGTAGATAAAACGTAACGTTTTGTCGGGATGTCAGCCTAGGTACGTTAAATGATAACTGACCCAAGAAAGCTAAATCATCACTAGCATTATTGATCAATTTAAATAGAAAAATCACTGACTGGCAAGTGCGCCTTGCTTCAAGACTGCTGATTAGATGTTTTTCAAGTAAGGAATCATGAGGTATACCTATCGGCGGGTAAACGCCATCCACTTTCAGTGACAAATATTTTAAGAAACGTCTTTGAACACATTCAAGCCTACTTATATGAATAATATGATGCGGATTCCAAATTAGCAATGCATACTCGAGCTTCGACCTAACATATGCATAATACAGCAACTTCAAGGTGGTACTCTGAGTGAAGTCACGACAGTTTCTTACAATAAAGCCGTACATGCGGTTTGCCTCGGAAATTTTGCTGTCAATGTGTTTGACGAATGTTAGTTGGGAGTCAAATGTCACGCCTAAGTCACATAAAGTTGAAGTCCTCTGAATAGAGCTACCTGACAGGGTATAGTCAAATAACAGAGGATTTTTCTTCAAAGTGTAAGACATTACGTAACATTTATTGATGTTTAATGACAGATTGTTTTGTGAGCACCAAGCATCCAACCTGACCAGATTTTCTAAAAGTTGATCACAGTCTGATTCATCAACTACACGACAAAACATCTTCAGATCATCAGCGTAAAGTAAACAATTCTCGCCAACAGCATTAACTATGTCATTCACAAATATGACGAACAATAAAGGCCCTAGGTTACTGCCTTGTGGCACTCCGGAATTGGCTACATACTTCGACGATCTGATGCCATTAAATATCACAAATTGATTTCTTCCAGTGAGGTAGGACTTAAATAGTTGTATTAAAGGATCGGATAATCCATGAGATTTCAGCTTATGCAATAGCATCCTGTGATCAACTCTGTCGAAAGCCTTGGAGAAGTCTGTGTAGACCACATCTGTTTGTAATCCTCTGTCAATGTTTTCTGCTATGGTCTGTGTGAAGTTCATCAGATCTGATACTGTTGAGCGCCCTTTCATGAAACCATGTTGTTGAACACATATTTTTCTGCTGACATGATGATATAGTCTGTTATATACATATTAATATCTCTAGAGCTTTTGAAAAATTGCACAATATTGATATAGGTCTAAAATTTGATACATCATTCCTACTGCCGTTTTTGTGTATTGGACATACTTTAGACAACTTCCATAATTCTGGAATTGTGCAGGTGGTAAGGCACAAGTTGAATAAAACGGTCAAAGGACACGCCAACACAGAGGCACAGTCACGCAAAATAAAAGCTGGTACATTATCCGGTCCGGTTTTATTTGCTTCAAGGCTAAGACAACTTCATCCTCCTCAAATCTAGTAATATTGAGTGGTTGTTCATTGCTCATTAAAAAGTCATCAGTTTCTTCGGTGGCTGATGAAGACGAGTAGTATTTGGAGAAGTTATCCGCAAAAGCATTTAATATGTCGTTCGGTTCCAAAAGTTCATTACCATTGTAAATCATCCTACTTGATAAGTTTGTTGATTTTCGCTTAGAATTTAAGAAGCCCCAAAATTTATTCGAATCTCTTTGTATTTCGTTCTCAGCTTGTCTGACATATATTTTGTATGCTTCATCTGAATCTATCTTAATTTTTGATCTAAGTTCCCTGAATGTCTGATACGTTTTAGGATCATTGTTGCATCTGTAAGATCGGTGAATCTTCTCCTTGCGTTTGATAAGCTTAATTATTGCTGAATTGAACCAGGGTGGGTATTTACGTTTCGTTGCTCGGACATATTTTGGAACACCGGTATCAAAAGCGTTGTACAGTTTATTATAAAAGAACTCACATGCTTCATTCACGTCATGAAAGCCATCTAAAGCAGCCCAATCCATGTCTGAAATTAAATTATATAAGTGGGGGAAGTTGGCTTTGCGGAAATTATAAGAATTTATAAATGAAACCGGAAAATTATGCTTAGTATTGAGACTGCTGTTGACATTACAACAAATATTCAGGGCAGGGTGATATGGGTCTTCATCTAGCAGCGGATCCCACGAATGTTCAACCTCACACAGATCACTACAGAAAACTAAATCAAGGGTATTGTCCATAGAATTTGAAATATTGATTAATAGCAAGACCCTCAGCAAAGTTGTTCAACGATACCAATTTTGCGTTGCGTCCATGACTATTAGCATAAGAAGCGTAGTTAGCTATGTTGAAATCCCCTGTTATAACTAAATTCTTATCAAATAGGACGTGCGATGACAAGATAGCATCATAAAATTGCTCATATTCAGCATTGGGCTTATCAGGTGGTATGTAGACATTGCAAATGTAAACTGAAAAAGTGTTGGTACAAACCTTGACTGCTACTACATCAATCTTTAGGGCAGAAAGTACTCAGGTATCTCTATCAAAGATGCTGTAAAACACTCATCAATCGCAATCAACACACCACCACCTCTTGAGCAACCAGTGGTTACATAATCTCGGTCTGTCCGGAACACATTATATGTAGTTGGAATAAATTCACTACTCATACATGAGAAATCTAACCAGGTTTCAGTTATTGCAATGATAGGATATTCACACCTACAAATAGCATTATAAAAAACAGCAGCTTTCGTTCGGAGTCCACGAACATTTTGGTAGTATATTAGAGGTTGCAGCCTATCACTACAATTAGAATCTACTCCCTTGTGAGTTACGACGAAGGGATGCATTGGTTGCTACTGACTGGGTAGGTCGTGTCTTAATCTATCAAGGGCTTCATTGTATGCCTTGCATTTCTGCTTATCCCAAACAGCATGATCCGTTTGCACACTACCATCTTTCTGTTTAAGTTCATACAGTTTGAGCATTAACGAGTCTGTGATTTGCAATGTTTGACCTCATGATTCTCGCTACAAAGTGGGCAAACAACTGCACCTTTACATTTGCTAGAAGAATGATGGAATTCATTACATTTAAAGCAACGATACACATCAATAGCATCGTAAACAGCGCAATTGTCATACCCCACAAACAAGTAACCAGCTTTAACAATTTTCTCATAACTACTCCTATCCACCTGAACAATAGCTTGATATACAGAAGGGTCTTTTTTAGTAGGAAAGTGCTTAACAATTTTACATTCAAAATCATCTTCGAAGATATCAGTATTTCCTTTTAATAACAAGTGCCGTAATTTATCATCTGAATATTTATCTGACATGCCCACTAGCCGAAACCGCGGGTTAATACCGTTAATTTCACGTATCACATAACTATCTGACAACTTTTCCTGAACAATAGCTTTCAACTTCTGATTTTCTTCCTTTGACTTACAGCCAATAAGAATACCCCCATCCCTAACATCCTTCACTTTCGCTAACTGAACTTCCGCAGTACAAGGATTCACATGCTGTATTAGATCAGCTTTGGTTTGCTTGCTTTGATGATTCCCATTTTTTTGCTGAAAAATTAATGCTGGCTGGGTCTTATTTCTAACGACTTCGGCGTAGGATACTACAGGCTTGTTGACAGAAGGTACTGCATGAGATGATTTCATAGATCTTGATATATCAGCAGATAATTTCGTGACTTGATTCTTGAAAGAAGCCATGGCCTCGTCAATTTTGTGACTCAGTAGATTCTTAACATCATCCTGGTTTATTACAATGCAGTTAGGAATGCAGTTCTTACATCTCCAAAACAACCCAGGAACAGTACTTATGACGCCCAGTATATCTGTGTTTGAGATACACAAAGAATGAAACTGCTTTTTACATGCGTCGCAAGAAATAGGTGGCCTTGACCGAGTTACCAATGTTTGGCAAATTTCACAGTTGACCATGATGCAAATTAATAGAAACTGATAGACTTACATATGCTATCTGGTCACCTCAATCAAATGTTATCTATGAAAACCTCTTGCATCACTTACGAATAAAACTGATAATTAATGTCCAGTATTTATCACACAAACTAAGAAATTCGAGAGATAGTATACAACACCAACCGGCCGAGCTCCAAGTCACTGTCACAATCCAAAAATTATGCTTGGGACTTACAGCCACTGAATGATACAAACTGTTTCCGTTCAAGTAAGTAAGACGTGAAACACTATAGTGTTTCTAGTGAATCCAAAGCCTGCTAGTTTTCTCAATAAGACACCATGGTACTTGGCTGTTGCTATTTAAGGATTCACATATATATATATATATATATATATATATATATATATATATATATATACATATTAAATGACTAGGAGTGCTGAAATTTTGAGTCTACTTTTACAAGTTTTAGGACTACTGATAAATGGAAAGTGATTAAAATTTTACCGCTCGGAATTTTGCAAAATAGCTGAGATATCCCACCATAATGTTAATAATTCGTCGAAGCTCCTCTGTTTGCTACACATTCGTTAAGTCGTCGCGGCATTGATTGAATTAGGTGATTGATGTCTTCTTGTTGTATTGTATACCAAGTAATCTGAATTTGGTTTCGTAGAGCCTCCAATATTTGTGGAGGATGCGGTGAATTTTGCAACCTTCTTCCCATCATGTCCCATACATGTTTAATGGGGGGAATGTCTGGAGATCGAGGAAGCCACTAAAGCGCTAAAAGTCTAAACTGACACGTGCGAAATGAGGTCGTGCATTGTCCTGCTGGAAAGGTAGATCTTTTCCAAAAATGGAAGCAGATGTAGTTCTAAAACTTCGTGGCTATAGCGCTGGGCAGTCGACGTCGAATGAACACTAATCTTGACCTGCAGTCGTAAGCAATGTCACCCCATACCATAACACTCATAGTGCATTGAATATGCCGTGGGATGGAATATTGGACGTGGTCTTTCACCACGTATCCTCTTTCCTCTTGCACGACCATTGGGTGTGCTCAAACAGAATCTGGACTCATCGCTGAACACGACTGAGTTCCATTCCATATTCCATTCAAGTCTCTCTCTCTACTCCACACCAATCGTTGCCGACGATGCTGTGGGCTCAGCGCTAGTACAAGATGGGGACGGTATAAAAACAGTCCAAAAGACCTTATTCGGCGATAGACTATCCTCATCGTTATTGCCCTTCTGACAGCATCACACTGGTTCGCAACTGCCCTTGTTGTGAAAAATCGATCTGTATGTGCTAGTTGCCTCAAATAACGATCCTGCCGCTCGGTAGTCTGTCTTTGACGTCCAGTACCCCTAACTCGCCGATTTTGGTTTTTTTAGAACCACGCTCAACAACATCTCATTACAGAAGTTTCGTTTGGATTCACCCGATTAGCGATTTCTCTAAAAGAAAATCCGGCTTCACGTAACCCGATTATCCGCCCCCTTTCAAACTCTGAAAGTTGAGTGAAATTAGCGCGCCTGCGAACTCTAGGTATGATAGTGCAATGAGACAACAATGAAACAAATGGAACCAACACAGAAAAATCACTGAATATTAAGTAAACAGGTTCATATTGTTCGGATCCTGATATGACAGAAAAAGCCTTTCCAAAAAGTACGGCTCGGAATATGCCTTCAACATTTCATTAGCGTATACCACCATGATAGCAAATATGTTTACAAGTTTTTGTAAAAATTCAATAAATAATTCTGGGTGTTGCATTTTTTATGTCATTTAGTATTATACTCGTATATTGTGTCAAAGTAACTAAATTCGTAACCGTGGATCTATTACTAATGTGATATTTGATCCCTGATTAATGGATGCAAGAGGTTATATAAAACAATTTCAAAGACCTCAGCAACAATGTTGATACGGGATATCGGCCGATAGTGCTCAACATTACATTTATCACCATTTTTAAAAACAGGACCGGCTTTGGCTATTTTCCATTGCGCTGGAAAAATACCTGATCTTAAGCTTAAATTGGATAGTACAGTCAGTATAGGTACAAGCACTCTTGCAGAGCTTTTCACTAGAAATGATGGAATTCCATCCGGACAGTGTCACCACTCAAAACAGATTTCTGATAAACGCTGCTAAAGAATTTACCAAAAGCATTAACTATACTTTGAGGCTGAGAATGCTTATTTTAATATTTCATAGTGCCAGGAATTCTTGTTGTGCTGCTCTTCATATAACTGTAAGACCAACACTTTTTAGGATCAAGAGCCAGACAGAACGTTAACAATATAAAATTAGTATAAGCTGTCTTTATCTTAATCTTGATTTCAGCCCGTAGAAGTTAAATTCCAAAAAGTCTGAGCGACATTCAAACCTTTTAAACTTCCGTGTATATTTTGCGTTTTGTTTTAAATCTTTAATAATGTTAGAATCATACCAAGGTGGGTATTTATGACGATAATTTATATAAACTGGAACATGTTTGCCAATAATACCATATGATTTTAAGTAAAATTCATCTAAAGCAATATTAATGTCGTCAAGTGGCAATCTTGATGAGCAATTTAATTTGAAATCCAACTATGAATGAAGTCAGGAAAAAATTAAAACGATTTTGAGAAAATTTGTTTTTTTCCGTCTCTCTCTGGAAGTACTTTGGATTTCAAAATTTTCTAAGCGGCATTTTGTTAGTTACCTAAATGCGCAGCTTTTAAGAGACTTCGTATCTCTTACAGTTTCCGAAATCCCAATGGTGAGGATCGAATTTGAAACACCCTGTAAGAGTGGAAATCACAAACATGGAGTCCACAAAGCAGATGATGTTGACTAACGACGTGTTTTTCTGCTCGAGTAGGTACAGAAAATCAGTTTGGACTAAGAAACACTTAAGTTCCAATAACTTTGTCGATTTTGCCCGATCGATAAGAAATTATGACACAATATTCTTGAGATGGACACAACGACAAATAAAAAACAAATGAAATAAATAATTATCTAACTCCTTAGCATGCAATGCTATCTACATACTTATCCTTATTCCTAAG